TTATAATTGGAAAAAAATAATAATAAATTATCAAAATGCTACTACAAGTAATGTTTCAATAAGCTAACTTATATACATTCAAACATATATTCACCAAATAAGCTAATTTATAAGTTAACTTATTTTTGTCAAATAATACCTGATAATTACCATGAGTAACATGAAACTTTGAAAACAACAAGAAATACATCCATTCAAAAATTGATGGGCAGTTCGAATCCCCAAAAGCCAACTCCAAGCATAATATTATACACAAAAGAGTAAATTACAATTTTAGGCCATATGCGTTGTTAATAATTTCAATTTTCATATTTATAGCTTAAAAATCTATATTAGTTTTCTATACACCTATCGTAAGAAACGAAATTAGGTTGAGTTAAATATTACTGAAGAAGCTACAGAGAAGTTACTTGTTCTAACAGGTTGGAGCTGGAACGCCGCCTACGGAGAAGTTACATGGTCTAATAGATTGGGGCTGAAACGCCTGCTAAAAGTCTCGTGGCATAACCCGGTGATATTTTGGTCAAAGAAGAAAACAGGTACGGAAGCATGTTGGACTATCATTTCATCCTTATGACATATAATTTATTGCTATTTTCCCCCCTGACTGATTCCTACCGATTAGTAAAAGTGATCAAAACAGTAAAAAATTATAATCAATAAGGACCAAAACAACAATAAATTATAAATCATAAGAACGAAACTTAGAAACCACAAATTCTAAACCACATGGATGACCAGTGAAACTTTTAACAAACCATATCATAATTTACTCCATACAAAATTCTAGTCAACCAACATCCAAAACCTCTTCATTCATTCATTCATTCATTCATGTAGTTGTTTGTGAAGAACTGATGTATAGTCACCAAACTGAATGTCAGTAGGAGGATGCAACTCAAATGCATACACAATCGGCTTCGATGCCTGCATCGCCCTACTACTCATCTTGCCATACACCTTCCCGAAACTGTACTCATCGAATGCAAAAGATTCCATGAGGTAAAAGAAATTCTCTCTCGCAAGGTTTTCAACCTGAAAGGAAACAAAAACTTGTTGTGTCACATTAAAAACTAGGACATGACATAACTGACGAAAATAGACGGAACAAAAATCAAGGATGTGACAAGATTGATAAATTATTAAATTACAGGTGACAAATTAAAACCCCTAAAAACTTGTAAAGTTTTTTCACCTGCTTACTTCACTCTCACCGGTCCCATCCAGTCTTATCAAACACACTCTAAAGATTTAATCATTGCAGTATCTCCAGTGAAGTAACTTATAAGAACCTCATTTTTGCACTTTTTATGGTCATTATCATTGCCAACTCAGCAAATTAAAATGGGAATGAATTGTTATCCCCCCCCCCCACTTACCAGGAAAGTTTAACCTGGAATGAGAATTTGGGCTTACGAGGTAATGGTCCTATTATATTATATAAAACCAAATATTTTCTTTTATTTTCATTCCCATTAATTAATGATTAATACCTTTAACCAAACACAGCATAAGAACTACTGTAAAACTTCACACGGTAGTGACTAATAAGAACCTCTTTTTGTGGATCTCATGTATTATTTCAACATCAATAATATAGGATATAAAAATCAAAAAAAATATATAAAACTAAAAAAATGTCAGTTCACACAAAATTCAAGGTAAGAGGAAAAAAATATGGGTAACTTATAAGAATTCTCTCCAATGGTTGTTCTTGTAAGTCACTAAACTTTTTGCTTACAAGAACCTGCCATTGGAGATGCTCTCACTCTCTCCATCCCAAAATAAATATCCACAATACAGTTAGAAAGATGTAATTATTACACTCTTTAAACAACTAAATAACAATATTATCATTAATAAATAGAGAAAGTAATGAATTTATCTAATCTCATAATCAAGGGTAGGATGGAAAAGCAAACATTCAGGGGTTGTTTACCCAACTATTACCCGGTAAGCACTTACCTTTAAGATTCAAAGCTTTGACTTAACTTACCAGGTAAGATTTAAATCTGTTAAAACATCACATGCAACATTCTTGTGCGGTAAGTGCTTATCAAGTAACAGTCGTCACTCACACTTACCGAGTAAGATTCTCATTACAAGAATCCTTGTAACGTTCATTTGATAAGGTAAAGTAACCCAGTAAACACTTACCGAGTAAGCATTTAGTAAACGGCTCCTTACTTTTTTGAAAATGGAAACCTATTTTTGGATACCAAAATAGAATTGTGGACACTTATTTTGAGATGGATGCAATATATCTTTCTTTTTATAGTAAGAAATATTAGTAGTACCTGAAGTTGAGCAAAATGGAGGTTGTTCATAACAAGAATGACTTGAACTTCGTACAAAGTATCACCCAAGATACGGATAGCAAGATACTCGAAGAACGTTTTAATGAGACCTTTCTGTTCTTCCCGGTTCTCCAAATCATTACCTAACTTCGGAATCCAAACTGCGCACTTGACTTCATTCCATGGGATTGTGTTCTTGGCAGATTTGGAAATGATCGTCTCGTCTGGATGAGAGAGTTCACAAACTACACTTATATCTTGCAACAGATATGGGTCGATTGAAGATTTAACTGCAGCCGTTGTGCAGACTATAGAAGATGGGTTGTAAATTTTAGCAAAATTCGAAGAGAATTGCAGATCAAAGTCATCAAATATAAGAATGCAGCCATTTTCGGGGTTAGGAAAAAGACTCAGAAGGAGAGAAGCATCAGCAGGTACATCTTCAGCCACACATAATCCTTGTCCACTCCTCGGCAAAGATACCTGGGATGAACTATGAGAGAAAAAACACGAATTTCCATTTCTACAACCCTGCACAGGAATTAACAGACGGTTTCAACGCTTATGTTTTTGTAGAGAATATGGAGTAACATTCACTTTTTCAAATCTATGTTGCAGAAATCATCGTATAAAAGCAATAATGCCACACATCTAAGACCATTTGTAACATCCCAGGCTAATTGTACCAGATATTGTCCGCTTTGTCCACATACATGGACTCACGTTTTAAAGGCGTCTCACGGAGGAGGTATCCAGTCCCTTATAAGGTAACCTTAGTTCCCCTTCCCAACCGATGTGGGGTAAGCCTAGTCCTCGTTGATGCACCAATTCGGTTCCCGGCTCTAATACCATTTGTAACATCCCTAAATAACCGTACCAGATATTTTCCGCTTTATCCACATACATAGGCTCAAAGTTTTAAAAGGCGTCTGATAGAGGAGGTATCCAGTCCTTATAAGCCAACCTTCGTTCCCCTCCCCAATCGATGGGGGATCTCACAATGAAAATAAAACAGAAAGATATCGTGATTGGCAAAAAGGCTAAAGTTTGGAATTTAGGGTGTGTTTGGTACACATGACAGGACGAGATAGTACAAAAACTTGTTGCCTTACGTTTGGCACGACATTAGGGGTGAGAGACGACAGGACCCGAGTGGAACAAGAATGCATCTTTCTCTCTATCCCATCAAATTAGGTGGAACAAAAATCAAGGAAATGGTACAAAATTGGTAAATTAGGGTGCGTTTGGTATCCAGACATAACAGGACAGAACATGACAGAACAACTGTTTAGTGTTTGGTAAGACAGATCCGAACAAGACAGAACAGAACAAATAAAATGACCCAATGAGTTGTTTATGTCTTTTATATATATTTTGATTAATTTATGTAATTTATTAAAGTATAATAAATGAATATATTTTTATAACAAAATATATCATTAGAAAGTTTTCATCAAGATGATTAAAATCACACTCATCAAGACGATTAAAAAGTTTATGTAGGTTCCAATTACTTTATACATGTTCTACATTATTTTATTATTATAATATTTAATAAATTACACAAATTAACCAAAATATAAAACCATATAAAAATATTATTTTGAGGACCGTAAAGTGAAAGTTTAAAGAACGAATAAAATGTAAAGAGGGAGGTGTATTTGATGTTTTAGAAGAGAATCAGTTTTATTCTGAGGTTATATTGGTAACATGGTTTTCAAAATCGTTTGAGGTGTACGCCTCAAGGTGAAGCCGTCCAAAACCACTCATGAGGCGGCGCCTCATGGTCCCTGGGCGAGGCTTAAGCCACAATAGGTAAGGCGGTGCCTTGCGGCGTTTCTGAGGCGCACACCTCAGTTTGGTGCTGCCTTGATTCGCTGAAAATAGGTGCCTAAAAATACCTTGTGTTTTTTTAAGTCAAACACTCAATTATACTTTCATAACTTAGAAGTATAAAGAAGCCTTTTATAGGATGTCCTTTTATCTTATCAATCAAAAACAAATGTTACCTTTCCATTTCCTAATCCTACTTTTGTCTTCTCCTCCTTTCTTCTCCACCGAGGATGCCTCTCCGAACCCCATTTTTTTCTTCTCCATTTCTTACTTTTTCCTCTCTCAAGAAGATATTCATCTCAAAGGCCAACCCAAAAATTAAGTTCTTTTTAGTTTGTCCATGTTTTTAGTTTATGTATAATGTATTGTATTATATTTTATATATATATATATATATATATATATATATTTCAGTCAACTATATATGTTCTATACCATGCATAATGCATTTTCTATATGTATAATGTGTTATGTATGTATTTTTGTATATTTTCTGTTTTATGTATTATTTATATTTTTTGTGTATTATTTTTCTGTTTTATGTGGATTTGGAAGATGAAAGTGTGATAGTGATTATGGATACGATTGTGGAGTTATACAACTTGTTCATGGTACGGGGAATTATAAGTTGTAGATTGATATGTTTTAGACTTGTAAGTAGTATTTTATGAATCTATGACTTTTGAAGTTTGGTACGGAATTATGTTTTGCTTACTATTGATATTTATGAATTTTATTTGTTTTACGGCTCGAGGCTTGCACCTCAGACCGCCTCGAGGCTTACGCCTCGAGTCCCGATTCCGCTTTTTAAAACCTTGATTGATAGTAAAATATATGTTTGTTACACCTTGTTCCATGGGATGAGGTGGACGTGGAACACGCCTATTCCACTTTGTTCCTGTATGTTCTACATAAAAGCCCTGCCAAATATAGAACAATAATGATCCATGTTTTGTTCTGTCCATTAAACTGACCATATCAAATTAGCACCCTAAAACAGCTTATCTCGCTCCCGTCCAGTCCGGTTCACATACCAAACGCACCCTAAAGACACTTAAGAGGTGGGTATGTTCTCCTCGAAAAAAATGACATCGTTCAGAAAGTATGGTAGGTGTTTGTTATCAGCTGCATGCCAATCAACAAGTAGAAAAAGAACAGAGCAGATGATACCAGCAAAAAGTTGATATCCAAAAGACAAAAGATATGTTATACTAGGAAAATAGTGCATACCTGTAACGATAAGAAGAATTTACAAACCGGCTTTCTAGCATCTAATGAGTGAGAAAATGCACATTGGCTTCCCTTGTTGCATGTCCCATTGACAAAATATACACATACAGAAGCTTCTGCAGCATCGTAAGTATTGAAAATCTGCTGGCTGCCAGATACATCCTCCAGATAACGCATCCTTATCTGCTTGACATCGCAACCGGAAGAATATAAGGTTTCAAGCAAATATACAAAAGCAAACGAGCCAAGTATATCCCACCTGGAGGAGGTGGGGTATGGGGTAAGATGCACACAGACCTCACCTTCAAACTAAAGCAAGAAGAGCCCCCAGGGGGTCTAGGAAGAAGTGTGTGAAAGTGAAAAAAAAACAGATAAACTAAGAGGGGGGGTTGGTTTGATGGAATGATTTTGGGGGATTTGGATTCCCGGGAAGGATTGGAATTGGAAGGATTTGGAATCTTTGGCGCGTTTGGTTTGTAGGATTTGGAATGGAATTGAATTCCATTTTTTATAGATAATGTATAAAAACAAATTATAAATAATTATAAAAAAACTTAAATTACCTTTTTATTAATTGATTATTATAAAACAAATGTTTTCAACATATTTTAAAACATCATTACACACAAATCCTACAAAATCCCGTGAAATACCAACCACCCCCATGGGATTTCTAAATCCCATGTCTACGGGATTTCAAACACAAGCAATCCTTCAAACCAAACATGGGATTCGAATGGAATTGAATTCCAAATCCCACCACATCCTATCCAATCCTACAAACCAAGTGGGACTAAAGATTTCAAAAACTAGATGTGAATAAGCAATAGCAATATAAATGGAGCAAGTCCAGGAAAAAAACATAGTGAATGAGTTAGCCGATCTAAAAGACATGCAAAGCAAAAGTACCTCTTTAATTGCTCTAGCCAATCTAAAAGCCACCTCTTTCTTATTAAATCCATCTGCACCCACAAAAGGTAAAGTTGTACATTTCTTTGTTCCGTTAATAGGATTGATGAGGTCATTATCCGTGGCAAGAGTATCAGAATCTTCATCTTCACTGTCCTCAACCATGATAAGACACTTATGCTGGAATTCATAGGGTGTATAGTAAGTCGGTAGACCACTGGAGGTTGCTAGAAACGTTGGACGATACCGATGCACAGAATGAAGAATGCTTTCATCTGCAGACATGAAAATTTGAAAATTACTCCACATCAAATATAAACTTGTAAAAAAGCCTCCAATCAACATCTCAAGATTCACACATATAACCGAAGGGTCATTGGCCCAACAATACTCGGGTTACTGGTGGATCCCAACCATTCTAGAGGTCAAGGGTTCAAGCCTTACCAAAGGCGAGGAGTGCGTGTGAGTTCTTTTTTAAAGTAATATGTGTGTGAGAGTTTTGTTATATATAAATATTAGGGCCAGGTTCTAGGAAAACCGGGAAAAAATGAAAAACTGAAGAACACCCTGATAACTATTCATCTAAACGGTATGCACATACAAGTAATAGTAAGCAATTTGTCCGGTATGCACAGGTTCATAACATGCACACATGCATAAAAACCAAGAAATAACTTCAATTACTTGCATGCACATGTGCATATTGTCCAAATGAATGGTTACCAGGGTATTCCTCAGTTTTTCATTTTTTTTGGGTTTTCACTGAACCTCCCTCATAAATATTACATATGCTTAAAAAAAATCGTACATATACTGGCAATATGCTGGAGTGATGATTGAACTAGATGGTGAAACGAGCACCATTCTTCTTGAATCTTCAAAGACACAATTTGGGTGTCCGTTGTCTCATCAAACTTTAACACGTGTTTCAATCGCTCAAGACGAAGATTATCCTTCATGATGATAAATTGCATGTCATCCAAGCCATTCAACATATAAGGTGCGTTGAAACAGGACATGATAAAAACTTGACATTAAAACTGGAACAGGATAGGACTGAATGGGACAAAGATGCATATTTTGTCCACCAAAAATAGGTGGACCAAAAATAAGAGAGATGGGACAAGATTGATAAATTACTAAACTGCCCACGTTAAATTAAAACTTTCAGACATTGCACAATTCTTTCACCCACCTATCCAGCTCTGTCCCTTCTCGTTCTTTCCATTCCCGTCTGTGTACCAAACGCACCCATAATATCCGATAAACAATAAGAGATAAATCATGTTACCATCATGTACCTGAAAAGTACGTTGCCAGAACTGGTAGGCACAAAAATTTGCCATGAAGATCACTTCCTTCCGACCCATCAAACCAGTGATCTTACTATCTTCATTGTAGTAGTTGTTGATGAACTTAGAAAACTGTAAACATTGCTAAAACAAATCAATAATCTGCCTAATCAAAGGCCTAATATTTGAGGCTAACAAGATCCAATATCCGTACCAGTGCTTCCTGTCCAAAAGGGCGGACGATCGGTAAAGGCTGTGTATCCATCAGGATACCAATTATAATGCCTTCACGTAGCATTCCCTCTTCTCCAAACTTCAGAATGAGCATGGAAGCATCAAAAGACAAAGCAAAGCTGGAAAGCAATCGTCCATAGAAAGTTGGCTCAAAACGGCCTCTGGGAGATGTTCTCTCTAAAGCACGTATATGGACCAGCAAGTCTAGTGCATCGTCAACAACACTAGATCTTGGTGGATCCATAACTTTCTGCAACAAGACTGTAAACAACCCTTAAATTAGTTCAGAAATAAGCATAAGCAACGACAAACAACAACTAGACATGGCCAAGCATACAAAGAAACATAAGTAGCATCATTCCATGCACACGTATATAAAGCCAATTACATGATATATATTCCGTAGAGAAATAGGGTAAAGCTTGTTATCTGATGCTATGAGAAAGAAGAGCCAGAGGCATAGTGGTAGAGAGTGAATGCACTCATGAGCCTTATATCCAAAATGCAAACAAATCTCCTCAAGTTAAAGCATATAAAAACATCCTACCAACCTGCCATATTATATATAAGGGTGTGTTTGGTAGTAGAAAAAGACGGACACAACAAATCAAAAACTTGTTGTCTCACGTTTGGTGCCACATTAGGCCAGGAAAGAACAAGAATGAGTGGGATAAATATGTTTATTTTGGAACAAAATTCAGGATGATTAGGAAAGATTGGTAAATTACTAAACTACCAATGTCAAATTAAAACCCTAAAACCTTTAACAATTCTTTCACCCGTATTGAAACATGGAGCAAGGCCCCGTGACTTTTAGAGACCTATTATACATGTAATAGTCTTTACAAAATTATAATGTTTTAGACTTTACTCTTCTAGCCGATTTGGCGATTCTGGATGTTAGAAGAAAGATTATATTTGAGTGAACTTCATATGTTACTTTGTCATTTTAAAACATTTTTGTTGTTTTAATTTGTGTGATTTTTAATGTAATACTCCCTCTGTCCCAAAATAAATGTCCACAATGAAAAAGGCACACAGTTTTAGGAATGTGTAATAATTACACTTTTTAATTAACAAAAAGACAATTTTATCCTTGATTATAGAGAATTTCTTCATCTTATATTAAGGGTAGAATGGGAAAGTAGACACTTATTTTAGGACAAACTAAAATAGCAATGTTGACACTTATTTTGGGACGGAGGAAGTATATGGTATAAACTCTTATATTTTGTATTACTTATTAATCGTCCCATAGGTCTAAAGTTTTGGTACAGTTGTAACTGGGCCTCCAAAAAGATTGGAACGCACTTGTCTGTTAGGATAAAATATTGTTGTATACTGGTAGGGAAGCATCAAGTGTGTATTAGAATGGACTGAATGTGCTCATCCACTTTAAACCAAAAATATAAGTAAATGCATAGGTGCACACACATCGAATACATCCCACTCATATGTTCCATCAGTCCCCATTACCTCATCCCACGTCAATCTCATCCCATATTTAGCACTCCTCAGTCCTCACTAAAGAAAAAGGTATATAGCAGATCACCATCCTCATATAAATCTAAGTATATAGCATTTCAATGACAGGGTATCAGAACAAAGAGATGCAGTCACCGTGTAACAGAACTCCCAAGAATCTTGAGTGGAGGTAAAAGAAGAATGAGGGGAGCAAGTATAGTTGAGTAAAAAAGTAAATGAGAAATAAAGGAGAAAAAAAATATATAAGGATATTACACCATACACAAAAGTAGCAGTTCCATTACCAAAATAGATATTGATAATGAAAAAGGCACACAATAACATGTAATTATTACACTTTTCAATTAACTATATGACAATCGTACCCTTAATAATAGAGAGGGTAATGAATTTATCCATCTCATAATTAAGGATAGAATTGGAAAGTAGGCACTTACTTTGAAATTGAAGACTTACTATGGGACAAACTGAAATAGAAACATGGATCATATTTATAATATAGGAGCATTTAGAAAGAGCTGCCTACCCTTTGGATCATTGATGGCTTTCGATTCAGCACAAGTTGTAAGAAGCACCTGTTGCCTCAACGATAACTTCAATATTGAAGGAGTCTCATACTTCTCTAACTGACCAAAAAATGATTCAGTGACGAGTCGATATACTTCACCATCACAAGTCCGGCCTGTTCGTCCCCGACGCTGCTCAGCCTATAACATGCGACATGGAGGAATTAGATTTAAAGTAAGATTGTAAGAACAAGTAAATGTCACTGATTACCTGAGATTCGGATACCCAAACAATCTCCGAAGATTCAATTTTTCTATTTGCATCCCAGTAGACTTGCAGAGATCTGCATGAATCAATCACATAGGCCACTTTGGGTATTGTTACCGAAGATTCTGCAATGTTCGTGGCCAATATAACCTGCACCAAGTAGAATGTTCCACAAGAAAGTGAAGCGTGATGAGAATTTGTTTCCTCAGATGCCCACAATCTATTATTACTGCAAAGAATAGATCAAGGTTTTAACAGGCGGAATCAGGCCTCGAAGTGTTTTCCCTCAACGAAGCAAAGCGTAAGCCTCGAGGCGGACTGAGGCGTAAGCCCGAGGCGGAAATATATACACATCAAAATATGTATATATTCTACACAAATATATACATATTTGTATATATATATATATATAATACTAAATTAGTAAGAGGTGATGGTTCAGTGGTTCTTGCCATAGAAGAGAGTGAAACCGTGAGATAGGCAGAGAGGGTGTGGAAATTTTGGTTGCTTGGCGGAAGAGGAAGGGTCAAACCACACTTTTTGATTGAGAGGAAAAAGTACTAGCTTTTTGGGTTTTAAATAATTAGAAGTACACATTGGGGCCATTGGGATTTGACTTGCTTCTTAAAAAAAGAATCTTACACTATAAAGAAAAGTAGCACTACTGCCGTAAGGCTTATAAAAAAGTCAAAAAAACCATTACCGAAGCAGATCATCTGGGGCGTATGCCTTGACACAGCCTCACACCTCAACAAACCGCCTCACTGAACCAAAGTGTAAGCCTCGTCCAGGGTCCAAGAGGCGCTGCCTCAGGTCCGGTTTCAGGCCGCCTCCTCTCGAGGCGCGCCTCGAGGTGTACACGTCGAACGCTTTTTATAACCACGCAATAGATATAAGATTAATCTCCCAATGCACAATTATGAGGAACAGAGAGGCTAACCTTCCGATGAGTCTTCAAGATTCTCATTGCATTAAGAGCTTGCTCTGTGTCAATGCTACTATGTAGGATGTGAATTCTAAAATCACTACTGAAACGACTGAGAGCATGCCATTGTTGCTCCAAAGCAAAATATGTTGGAAGGAATATCAAAATGCTCTTCTCCATGTCTGTTTCATTTTTGTGAATATGCAATACCAGATTGTGTATAAGCTTGTGCACTTCATCATTCATAACTGCTTCAGATGATGGGCTAGGTCCAGAACAATATTTTATAGACAGGGATTCTGAACTCATATCAAGAAGTTCAACCACCTGTTTTATATATAATAAATAAGATGAAACAGCAACTATACGTAAGCTATCATAATTAACAGTTGCAAAAAAAGTGATAACAGAAACAGTTGTCCGATACTCTTTAAAACTCTAAAGATACTGGTGTTCCCTTAGTGTTAACTAGCACGCATAAACACATTGTTCATTCAGTTTGGTACCTATTAGACCAAATAACAACAGTTGAAAGAATATTCATACTTAAAATCCCATTCGAAGTTCTAAAGACACCGACGTTAAATGTTTATTCTGCCCTGAATCACATAGATCATCCCTGTGTTTTACCGAGACACTGGCAATTCCCACTCAAGTTTCGAAATTACACCAGAACCCCATTGTTTCTATTTGCTTACAACCACCGTCACTCGCCCTGATGGGCGTTAAGTCCATCTCTTAAGTTCCCCTCCTGTGCATCTCATATGAAGGTATTTTTGGCCGTTTTACCTACGTTATTATTAAAAAAGCCCTCAAACACCAGCACCTGCAGAAACCAATCATCAATGGCAGTATCATGGAGCACGACACCAACCATACCCAAGACATCCACGCCTTTTCACCACTCATCTTCAACATCTTTTTCTCCCTCAACTTTCCCAAAAACCACTCACGCTTCACACTTGTTTGCCACCAATAACTACCACAAGAACTCAGAATTTACCCCAAGATTCTAAAATTTCAACTTCGGATGCTACTATAAGGAACTAGTTCATCCCGTGAAGTCCTCACGGCTATTCAACGAGAAATGCTCTTTCATCAGGTTTTTCTTATTTTACAAATTTAATTCCTGCTTCATTTTCTGTTGTTTTCTTAATCTGTTGCTGTAACCACTGTTTTAAAAACCGCCAGAGGCGTGCGCCATGAGGCGCGTCTCAGGGCAATTCAGGACAAAAACGTTTATGAGGTGCCGCCTCTAAGAGACCAGATTGTATGTTCCCCTTGATGGGTGAGGCGGTGGGCCAGTGGGCCGGTCAGAGGCGTGAGTCTCTTCTCCTTTATAAATAAACCTTCCTTTTTCTAAAACTAAGAAAACCCTAATATTATTATGGAAACAGAATTGACGTATGTAACTCAGACTCTTATCTTCTGCCTACATCAATTCAATACCAAATCAGTAGATTAATAAGGCTTTTCGACTTCTTATGAAATTAATTTTGTTTTTTGGGGCTTACGCCTTGACCTCCTCGAGGCTTACGCCTCACGTACCTAAGAGGAAAACGCCTCGAGGCTCGTTCTGTAATTAAAACCTTGGCTGTAACTAAGGGTGATATACCTGCTCAAGATACGATACTCTTCGCTGGTACAAGGTATGCTGGTCGGAGCTGGGAATTCCTAAAACTTCAACCCTTTCACCTCGACCGAGATCTCTAAAGTACTCCTTGTATCTTGTAATATCAGCAGTAGCAGACATCAATACCACCCTAGAAAATGCGAGCATGTATTAGCACCTAAAGCAATTAGAGCCACACAATAAGCAGCAAAACAAAATCCGATCGAGGAAAAATGTCCAAGTAGATTATCTTTGACAAGAGCCTTTAAGATGATAAAACATGGAAAATGCATGCAACAAGAACTGACAAGCACAATGAAAGAAACAAATAGCTAACCTCAAACCACTATTTTTTATTAGAAACTGCTTCACACACACAAGAACAAGATCCGATTCAACAGATCGTTCATGCACTTCATCGAGAATGATAACCTTGTACTTGAGTGCATTCATTCCTTTTTCTCGCAGTTCCTCCAACAAAACTCCAGCAGTTTTGAAAATGATCTTAGAGCTGCAACGTTAGAAAATAAACTTTCAATGATTATAAAAGGCAATGGGTACAAAAATATAGATGGAAAAACCATTGGTGCAAAAATTTTAATGCACAACGCGACTCTACAACCAGCATAAAAGTTAGAAACTTCCTTAACCACCACCATATGAGATAATTTGAGAAAATGTCATCATCAGTTACATGGCTCTCAAGACGGGTACCAACTAAACAGACCCAATGATCTGTTGGCATTGAAGACAAAAAGAAATTTCAATGAAATTCAGATTTCCTCGTAACTGATGTGACAAATCTGGTCATTGATCTATACATCACACATGTTTTTTCTTGGAAAGAGGACGAGTTGAACAACTTCTCTTCTTAGTCACAAAGAAGCAATAGAAGAAAAACTATGGTCAACCTTGGGTCAACAACTTTTCCTACCAATCTTCTTGGAGCAAACTATAACCCAATGTATACTAGTAATTTAACACGACTGTCGACTGTGGTAAATTTTGCATATCTAGCCAGAACTACAAAGTACTTGATGAAGTTCCAGAAGTGCAAGAAATTTAACAAGACTAACATTGTAGTATTATTGCTTAATACAGCAAACTGGGTACTTGATACCTTACAAAAAATATGTTTGATGATAATCAAGATGGTCTCACATCTAGAAAGTAACAACATGAACCATCTAATGAATGGGTCAACTAATGATATATAATCTGAGTACCTCGCAGACATAACCTTGGAGTGACCTATGTGATATCCAACCTCACCCCCCGCTATACAGTTTCGAGCTTTAGCCACCATCTTAGCAACTGCCACCACAGCAAATCTCCTTGGTTGTGTACATAATATTGGCTCAATATTTTCTTCCAGTAAAAATTGAGGAACTTGCGAGCTCTTCCCTTAATTATCAAAAAGGAATGCAACCAGTAAAAATCAATTTTCAAGCTCTTGTAATTAAGAGAAGCATAGCATATAATCAAAACCTTAAAAGTTAAAATAATAAATGCAGTCTCCAAAAAAATCATAGAGGTTCTTAGTGTACAAGATATTTAAAACAGACATTACTGGAAATACTAGAAATGGGCTTTGACCCAACCTCAGCAAATAAAGATCATAGTGTCATGGGACTTCGCAGCAAACTACATTTCGAGGGAAAAAGATGTGGTCTTTAGAGTATTATAATAAAATGCTTTTACCATTTTACAAGTGCTTTCCATTCGTCATTATCTTTAGGGTATTATTACACATAGTCTATATGGATTTGACTTGGTGTTTGGTAGACAAACAGGTCTGGACAAGACAGAACTGGACTAGCTGTTTGTCTAGTGTTTGGTACGACTAGAAAATGACTAGATAACTTGTTTGTATAGTGTTTAGTAAGCTAGACAAGACAATATAAAATGCTAAACTGACCAGATTGCCCTCAAATGTTGTTTAATGTTCTTTTAATCATATAATACTTATAAATGACACTGATCACCCAAAAGTTTACAATTTTATGTATAAACATTTATAAATTCATATATTACTTTTATTCTATATTTATTAACATTCATGAGTAACTCCGTTCATTTATTGGAATTGATGGACTATGGATATCGGGTTGAAAGTCTTCAATGGTGCCTAGCAATAACAAAACAATTAAAAATGTGATCACGCTCTATTGGAGTAGCAACAAAACTAGCCAACATCACAGTTGGAGCATTCGTAGAAGTTCCAAGCACTGCTATAGCCAGCATACAAAAATGTAAGCATAAGGAAGTTTAAATGCATAATAATTGTGTGACAAACAAACGGACAGAGGCAGCCATTTCCTAATATAGGTAGTTTACTGAATAGCCAGATATTGAGGCTGCGTTTCTTTTATAGGTAGTTTCCATATATTCCAAAAGCAAATACCGTGTGCATCGGTGCATCTCAGTGAAGCAATTATAGTAAATTGATTCAATTGAAAGAAGTTAGTATTAGCAAAATCCAAAATGTGATCAATCTCATTGTAAAAGATCATGAAAGAGTATTAAACCGTAATATGAGCTTATGTATTTCTAAATAATTATAGATGTACCAAAACAATTTTAAAGAATAACTATCATATAGCCAATAATGAACACACAGCTTTAGATCAATTAATCAGGATTAGGGGGTTGTATGTAATTAAATTTCTAAAAAATAACTAATGATGAGCTGGACTTCTGATTGAGAACCAAACTGCATCTCAAAGGGTATGTGTGCAACGTTTTCCTTCTAACGGTAAGGCACAGCAAATGAAACAGAAACAATAGGCTGACTTGCTCTTCAGCGACCATTAGAAGAAACAAGAAGGTAAAGAAGAAACGAAGAAGAGTATGGAGGACTGGAAGTGCACAAGAAGCTGATTTCTGGATCTGCTTCTTCTTCTATTTTTCTTCTTTCACTTGGACTAGAGTTTTTCTTTTCTGGGACTTAGATATCGATTTTTTCAAGAAAACACTTTCTTATTGGAGGATGAATCTTGTAACACATAGATTTCACAAAACCTCTGACTTCAACTCAACATTGTAAGTTGTAACGAATTACTTTAAGGTAATTATTACCTTAGTTGTGCAAAGCAATACATGAATCATACATGTGATACATGCACATTTTCTGATACGCTTACGACTCTCTATTGGTAGACCCCCACCTTAGTTGTGCAAAGCAATACATGAATTATACATGTGATACATGCACATTTTCTGATACGCTTCGACTCTCTATTGGTAGACCCCCATACTGAATCCTACATCATCGCACATTGAATGATATTGACAAGCATGTTTTTAGTGCTAAGTACAAGCCTAATGTCCTTAATAAGCAGCCCATTATGCAAACCCTGCAGTTTTGACTGCTTTGCATGTTATTTTATTGCACTTACCTGCTATATGAGTATATGGCCACTGATTGAATATAGATCTGTACAGAATGAACATCTCCATCATGGAATCGTGCTTAACCAACAAAGCATCCGAATCCACTTCGGGATTTAGTTGTTTTTAGTACATATAAGCCTAAAATATGCATGGTAAACCGAATCCTATCAGTTAATGGATCCCACGACAATTGGTCTAGAAAAAGCAAATTCTTCAATTTATTCCATGCCTGATCAAACAAAAGACTGACTGATCGCTCAAATAAAATCACACCAGCTATAAAGGACAAACCCACATCCCAGAAGCAAAAAGACCAACTACTGAAACTTCGTTCTTCAATTACAATTGCAGATAACTCTACAAACTAACCTAAAGAGTAAAGAAAGACAGATACATTTGAGACCAATCATATGCATGGATTTTGTTAGAAATGTAACCCTTCGCGCTTCTATTTACACGTGCATTCTAAACCTCCACATAGTTATACAACTTCTCTAAAAAATCAGTAAAAACTTACGACTCACGCGAAATTTAAGTTCATAAGTACCAACACTTTGGCTCGACGTACAGAGGTCAAGCCGTGTCTTCGCTTCTCTACAGTCCAGTGGCTCACTTAGTCACTCTATCCAAAAACTTTAGATAACTACAAAAGAAACATCGAGAACAATACAAAAATTTAAATAAATTATACCACATCCGGTTTCACCGACGATCAGAGTGACGCGATTCTCCATTATCTTCTCGACAATTTTGCTACGGAGAGACATGATAGGAAGATCCCTAAAATTCTCGGAAGACGGAGATGATGACGGAGGCGATGATGACTGAGAAGCTAATGAAGTCGACGGTCCCGGCATCGTTAAAACCCTCGGCACTGTTCTCGCTATCGGAAATTGGAAGAACAAAGTAAAGTGAAATCCGAACGGGTCTATTGCTGTATTTATAGGAGCAGAGACTCCACAAGACTCGTGTCCAACTGGGCCCGGTCTAAAGTTCCCGCCGGTTCAGACTGCTCTTGAAAATCCCAGCACACGACCGCGACCTTGACTTCATTTTGGCCTGGTCAAGCTTAGAACCGGACACCGGACCAGAGTAATAAGATGAACCGGACCTTTAGAAGATAAAAACTAAACAAAGAGTAAGTGATCGTTTACCAAACGTTTATCCAAGTAAGTATTTACCAAGTAACATTACCTTACCGAATAAATATAGTAAGAACCAATAATCTTACCCGATAATAGCGTGACAAAGACCAAACGTCTTACCCGGTAAGTGAGGACGACGACTCTTACCACGGTAAGCGTTTACGGGGTAAATTGTTGCATACGATATTGTTTTGATGGACTAAAGTCTTACCCGATAAGTACATAATAGTGTTCAATTTCACCGGTAAGTACTTACCGGGTAAGTGTTTGATAAACGGCCCCTAAATAAAACAAAACTACACATGTTGATCGTTGGTAAGACAAAACTATACATGATATATCGGATAAAATAACCAATTTATTCTTAACGAGTTACTTATATATTTTGTATTTCGGCAAAAACGTTGATGGGTTGGATTACAATGAGAACGAAAGTTGCAGTGATAAGGGTAATAGTGGATCTCCATTTTTGGATTAATCTTAATTAAATAATTCCACTAGATCAACGCTAATAATAAGCACTAGATAAATCTCCTTCTAAAACGCAATTCATGGGTTGGTTTAAGATAAAAAATGATCAGTGATCCAAAAAAAAATTCTTACATTTCTCACCTTAACTCTTATTCTTATACGATTCTTCATCAAAACATTAATCACTGGCAAGCACAATTAATCCCATACAGTCATCCCGCTTCCAATAACAACAACATTAGGTGATATTTTTTGGCTCACTCAGTTTTGTTTGAGCTCACGCCAAGGCTTTTGACGGATTTGTATATTCGGATTTTGTGGTTTATATTGAATTATGAACCAAGAGTGAAAACTGTGTTAATTACTAATACAGGTCATGTGGTTTGTATTTATTACAAACCTAATTATGAATTTGAGTCATGTAGTTTGTATTTATTACGGATCTTTAACTGATGACATGTATATTTGATCGTTAATTGATCCACATGTTTGTCATTTAAGGGGTATTTTGGTCATTTAATTAATAATTAAAACGTCTTTAACTCAACCAATGATACCATATCACATGTCACGTAGTAAATATAAAAAATCTTACCCGGTAAGAGCGATGACAAATATCGAAAATCTTACCCGGTAAGTGTCGGTGACAATAGACTATATTCTTACCTGGTAAGGTGAGTAAGAGTGTTAACTATTACCAATAAGAGCATCTACAATAGATAATATATAATTTTTACATATATAAAAGAAAAACCTTGGGTATTGAGGTGACACTATGAGAATTGAGTATTTTTAGACAGTTAATTGTGGAACCAGTTTTTCCATACATTCATTCCACAAATTTGGAGGAATAAAAAAAAAAATTGTTGCAGAACGATCTATAATTGCCTTAAAAGGTCCATTTGTTGTCACTCATTGGTAACGTGTTGAAATATATATGTATAAAAGAAAAACATTGGGTATTAAGGCGTCACCATGAGAATTGAGTATTATCGAATGGTGAATTGTGGTTGTGTTTTAGTTGTCTCGTATTGGTAAGAGGTTGAAGTATTTGAATAAATTGGTATGTATAAGAAACGTCGATTGGAATTTGGATGCCTTTGTGTCAAATTCATGGTGTTTCGCTAATAAAGTTGTCTTATCTTGGACGACCCTCTTTGAAATCTATTACCATGGTTACAATCAAAACCAACCAAATGGTAAAAAGTACAATGCAAAATTAAAGTGAAACCAAGGATGATGACTTGGAACCAAGGTTTGAATATTTCTCATATTTTGAAATAAAGTTGACTTTTATCGTATGAAATTGGTGGAAAGATGATAGTTCGAAAAAGACGACGAATATATAAAAGAGTGATGGATGCTTTAAAATATATAACACGTGTTTAAAATTAGAACCAACCAAATGGTAAATTAAAATATTAAGCAAGACCAAAGATGATGACTTGACAACACGAATTTTGAATATTCCTCAAATCTTAATATAAGGTTGGCTTCCATCATCCCACATTGATGGAAAGACGATGGCGAATATATAAAAGAGTGATGGAGTTTTCTTTATTTTAAAAATTCTGTTGAAGATGTTTCAAGTGTTTGGGTACATTGCTCTTAAGTGTAACGTGTTTAGATTTAAGATCCAAAATGACAAACTTATACCTGATATATCACACAAATACAAGTTATAACCCACCTTTGATCAAATGCAACCTACTAGGTCCCACTAAGGTTGAATATAATCTTTTAGAGTAAATTACATGATCGTTTTATGTGATTTACAAAAAATCATGATGCGTCTCTAAATCAAAATAATTATGGAAAACATCTATGTGGTTTACATTTTTACACGCATTTGATCCCTCTGTTCTAACATCGTTAGAGGATTATGTTGAGTAGGTTAACTATGAGGATAATTTAGTCATTTCATAACTTTTTGTTTTTTTTTTATTGAAACTACAATGACCAAGAATGTAATTTATTCATACCATGTCCCACCTCTTTCACTCTCTTGTCTTTTTTGATGATACATATACACAACATTATGTATATATAGGTGAAGGTTCAAACGAGAACACAACTATTTTACGAGAACACTCTTATCATACGTGATAATACGTGTAAGGGGATCATGTGATTTGCGGACGACATGTTTTATGACTTAGGCCGCGCCATGTGTTTATGATTTAGCATCACATGTGATGGTCTTGATGGACTATAGTATCATATCAACAACACTCTTATCACATGTGATAATACTTGTGAGTGGGTTTAGTGGTGTAAGGACGACTTGACCCGCAACCAATATCGCATTGAAAATCATCCGCGTTTCTGATTTAGTATCACATGTGTATCATATGTCATAAAACAATAGTATCACATGTGATTGTCTATATTATAATAAAAGGATGTTATCGCATTCTCATAAAATTAAGGTGTTTTTGTTTGAACTCCTTCCTATATATATATATATAGAGAGAGAGAGAGAGAGAGAGAGAGGAGGGGGGGGGAGGGAGAGGAGCATATATACCACATATACAGAGCATTCATATACACACATATGAGCATGCTTGTGTATGTGTGTGTGTATATATATATATATACTATGATATCCCAAAACGGGATAAATAAATAAATATGAAAAGAAAAGAAAAAAGAAAATGAAAAAAATAAAATAAAACTAGTTTTTATTGTATTGGACAAAAAATGTAAATGAACGAGATGAGAGGGCTCAAATTTGTCAAGAGTTTAAATTCGTTTTGGACCAAAATTGTTAATTATCACGTTATAGGGCCCCAAATGTAAATGTCAGAAGCTCAAGGGGCTGAATGTAAGATTTATGGAAGTAGAATAACTTATTCCATCAAAAGAAGGAATCTGAATGTTTTTCAGAAATTGAAACCGGTGGATCAATTTGAAGCTCCCCATTGGCTCTAGTCGTCAACCAATACGCCAAAACACTTAGATATAAGTGTAGAGGATCGGATGAGCATCATTTCCGTTCAAAATTATTCGAGGAATAAGCTAAAAATGAGGGAGAAATATGAGTTTAAAGTTGGAGTCATAATTTTTGATTTTTTGTTGATTCAAAGTGAGATTCTCAACCAAACTTTGTGATTTTTATATTTGTAGTTTCGTTTTTAAAAGATCTATTGAACCCTAGTAGTCCTATGTTTTAAGAGTTAATTTTGAAGTTTAAAGTTTTGTTCGGTTTTATTTAAAAACCTAAACTTCAAATGATAAAATGGAATTCATTACTTGATGAAGAACTTGAGTTCTTTATGTCAAAATATTGGTAAGAGATTGGTGCGAAAAAAGAAAAAGGAAAAAAGAGTTAAAAACGAGTGAAATATTGGTAAATGATTAAAATGCATTTTTTTAAAACTAAAAATACTTTAATAAAATAATTATTTAATATGTAAAACAATATTAAATATACAACTAAAATATAATCACAAGGCAAACGACATTACTAAATCAACGACTGTCGATGATGGTTCAGACCGATGGTGATCCATGATGGTTCATAATCGTAGCGGTTTAGACGAGGGTAGTGAGCTTTGGTTCGGATTAGGCGATTAGCTATTTTTCTCACAATTTTCTTAAGAAATTCCTCGTTAATAGTAAAAAGCCCACAAGACTGGGCCAGCCTATTATTTTCCCTCCCCCGTAAATCAATTATCCACCGTTAGATTTGATTCTTATCAAGGTTCAGCATACACCACACCACATGGAATGATTACTCTCTTTCAACGGCTATAGTCATCGTCCCTCTCTCAAAACCCTAATTGGCGATTTCTATCCACCAAAGCGCCCCGACTACCAATATTCACCTCGTTCAGGTACACGCAGCTCCATTTTAGGTCGATCATTTACATTGTATGTGTTCTTCCCCAATTTACGATCTTATATGCATGCATGTGTTCTTCCCCAATTGGAAATTTTTGCTAGGTTTAAATTGTTTTGTTTCTCTTTGTTATACGTTACGCAGCTTCGCGTTTCTTGCACTTCTTCGTGTAATTTAGTAATTTGGTTGTATGATTTAGGTTCTTTTAGAATGTTATCGGTTGTTTTGTTGGATGTTTGAATAATTTTATCTTTCCGATTAGGTTGTGTTGATTTTCGAATTTTACTGTCACTAGGAACAATGAGTCGCTCTAGCAGAACGCTATATGTTGGTAATCTTCCTGGGGATATTCGTGAGCGAGAAGTGGAGGATTTATTTTACAAGGTAATTACATCTGGTTTTTAATTTAGATCGGTAATGGACAAAATTTGGTTTCAAATCGGACTTCAATGTTATAACCTTTGGTTTCAAATTGAGTTCCACATGTGACGTCTCGTTGGACTTTACAAGTGACAGATACTTGGTTTCGATTTTGATTCCAAATTGTAGTCTAAATGTTACAATACTGACAAGTGAAAAACATTTAGTTTCGAATTTGATTCCAAATTTCAGATTGAATTCTGCCGTCTGCATGCCATAACATTTGATTCCAAATTGTAGTCTAAATGTCACAATATATGGTTCGGATTTCTTTGCCCCAGATGTAGTGTAGAGCATTCAGCTTTTCAAGCATTCTGAATTACTTGAATTTTTAGAAGAGACATGGGATACATTTCAGGTTCAGAATCAATATAATTCATTTAATTTTCAAGAAAGGAAATGATAGGTTACATAAAACCAAGAGAAATGGTAAAAAGGATAAAGGAACTCATATGAAACTCTGCACTGGGAAAGCAACATCTCTAATTTTTTGAAACCCTTTTTCTGTCTTTCCATTCTATGGGAAGGAGAAAGTTCATTTAATCCATCAACTTGTTCAGATATGTGCAAACTATATGTCCATTAGCTTCCTAATAGGTGTGAGTATTGTTGTCTGGAGTAATAAATTTGCTATATTTTTTCTTTTTCATTTGATTGCAGTATGGTCCAATAGCTCACATTGATTTGAAAATTCCACCAAGACCTCCAGGTTATGCCTTTGTTGAGGTGAGCTTCATTTCGCTTATGCTACTGCTGTCTTTTTTTTATTCATTCTTGTCCTCATATAGGTTGATGGTCTTTCTGTTAGTTTGAGGAGGCTCGTGATGCTGAAGATGCTATTCGTGGTCGCGATGGCTACGATTTTGACGGGCACAGATTAAGGGTTGGTCGCACATACAAAGCACACACAAGATATCATGTTGTTTCACTTGGAAGTAGCAGCAACAGTCGATACATTTAACATCAAATTGTCTGAACAGGTGGAACTTGCTCATGGTGGTCGTGGTAACTCATCTTCTACGGATCGTTATAGCAGTCATGGAGGTGGTCGTGGTGGGAGTGGTGGTGGTCGGGGTGGGGGAGTTTCTAGACGCTCAGATTACAGAGGTGTGTATTTTAGTTTAGTTATGCATTTTGCACCATGTTAATGATTAAGAGTTCAATTCTCAAATATAATTGTTTTTTATGATTGACACAGTTATGATTACTGGGTTACCTTCTTCTGCATCATGGCAAGACCTTAAGGTCAGTATGATTTAATATATGGAAGTTGGATCTTTGAAATTTTGGGGAATATATTGGTAATATCTTCATCAAAATTGAAGTCAAACATATCAATTGCTTTACGGTTCAAGTTTGGTTATTTGTTTGCTAACTAGTGATAAAAGTTTGTAGTTTTAGACACAATATTGATGGATGTCTGGTCCGTGAATTGTGATTGTTTCTCATGGTGCCAGTTTTGTATTTCTTTATGTAAACCATATTTCTATAAGGGGATTATGTTTCGTGCTTTTGCTCTATATTGGCCTTAAGGAGAACTTGAAAAATTTATGTGGTTCAACTAGTCTGTCAGTCTTGTATCTTTCTCTTCACATTTCTTCTGTTATTCAGGATCACATGCGCCGGGCTGGAGATGTTTGTTTCTCCCAAGTTTTTAGGGAGGGTGGTGGTATGAGTATAATCTAAATTAATCTTGTTAGGTCATACTCTATTTAATCGAAATATGTAGACACTTTACTAAGGTGTTGTGGGTGATGTGTTATTGTTTTGCAGGCACCACAGGGATTGTGGACTACACAAACTATGACGACATGAAATATGCCGTAAAAGATTATTCTTTTTTTCCGCCCTCTGCAGTGCAGATATGCATTCATTTTGAAGCTATAGTTGTAAATTTTGTCAATTTTGTCTACAGATAAGGAAATTGGACGATTCCGAATTTCGGAATGCTTTCTCCCGTGGAGTTATACGTGTAAGATTTCACCTAATATGCCAACTATTCATGGATTATAGACAATGCATATTTTTTTGTTATGTGTGTTGATCTCTCTGCTTGAAACCTATAGGTGAAGGAATATGATTCAAGCCATTCTAGGAGCCGCAGCCGCAGTCGGAGCAAAAGCAGGGGCTATAGCAAGAGTCGCAGCAGAAGTCGGAGGTTGGAACATGCTTGATTGCTCCATTTACTTTAACTTTGACTTTGTCAAAATTAGCATACACAAATTCATGTTCCGTGGTGCACCTCATGCTAACTTAACTTGGTTCATATTCTCATGCAGCAAGTCCCCAAAAGTGAAATCTTCTCGTCGCTCAAGATCTCATTCGAGGTCTGGCTCTCCCCGTTCTCGTTCTGGATCTAAACCGCGCTCTTTATCAAGGCAAACCTTCCTCCTGTCTAATATTTTGGTCTTGGGTTTTGTATGCTTATTTTGTTTGAAGGTTCACTTTTTTGACGTAGTAAAAATGAGATAATCTGACTTGAGGCACCCATCTTTTTACTGAATAACTAAACAGTCTTGGTGCATGATAATGCCAATTTGATTTAGTTACTATAATGTTACCTTGTTTTGGTTACTTTCAATTGTTGAATTGATTGAAGTTGCAATTAGTGGTTGTTAAAATTGTAGGCCAGTAGAATGAGTTAAAGAAGATCTTAAAATGAGCAAATGCATGCTTACCAAGGGCCTGCTTGTTAGCAGCTTAATGAGCTTAATGGGACTAACAACTTATTCGGCCAGCTATGCATGACTGTTTGGTAGTGGTTTAATGATATAGAAAGTGGCTTATCCAGTAAGCTTCTAGGGGGAGCTTTATGCTGAAAGCCAAGTTTTTTCTAAATTTGTCCCTCCCAATTAAAAAACATGCTGTTTCATCTATAAAAAACCTTCCCAAACTTCACGATCTATAAAGACAAATTAATCAATATCGACAGCTTTGTTCATTCGGGACTTAATGGAAAACCAACCAAACAGCCCCTAAGAGTTCTAGTTGTAGCCGAAGTAGAACTTATGACTTCCAGCTTTGTTTCCAATTCTACTATCAATCCTATGGTAAAGTTCCTGATTTTCTTTTAGCAGAAATGTTGAGGAAATTATTGTCCAACCGTCATTGGTTCTTCATTCTGTGAAAATTTTATGATGAGACCCGTCTTTTTTCTTTTTTAGATATGGACATATTCAGCTATTTGGGGATTACATCTTAAAATTTTGATGGGATGTGGTACAATTGCCTATAACACTTATGGTTGTTGAGGTATATTGCTTTGTAGATGCCAGTTTTGGAATTCCTTATGGTGTTCTTAAATAAGCATCATGAAAGCCCATGGGTGCTGGATTGGGAACAAGAAGAATCATGGATATGGATTGCAATGGTAAAGCTGGATTGTGAACTAGGCAGCTAGATGACTATGGACTATGGGAAATCACAGTATAAACAGTTGGACCATATCTGTTCAGTTAATTCGTTAGTTCTCTTGCCTGTTCACTTAGGGTGCATTTGGTACTCTGGACAAGACAGAAGAGGGATCCCTGTTCCACGTTTGGCAAGACTTTTATGTGGAACAGACTTGTGTTTTACCAATATAACCTCAAAATAGAACTTAATTTTCTTCTAAAATATCAAATATGCTTTCCTCTTTACATTTGACTTATTGTATTTTATGTTCTTTAAACTTTCACTTTACGATCCTCAGAATATTATTTTTATACTGTTTTTATGTTTTAATTAATTTATGTAATTTATGTAATTTATTAAATATTAATAATGATAAAATAATTTAGAAAAGGTATAAAATAAAAATTGGAAACTACATGAACCTTTTATTTTGGTGTCATTTTAATCGTCTTGACGAAAACTTTCTGATGATATATTTTGTTATATAAAATATTTATTTTGTTATAATTTAATAAAATAATTAAGTGGTCATTTATCTGTTATGTCCAGTTGTCCCTTGCCAAACGTTGAACCACTGTCCTGTTCTATCCTGTCTGGATACCAATTGCACCCTTGTGTCTTCTTCATTAGCATCCTTTTTTCATTCTACTTTTAATTTTTTAATTACTTTTGATTACCTCCTAATTCATTAGGTCTTATTTAGGTCCTGTCATATATTGGTCTCTGTTGGGCTGCTATACATTTCCATTCATTAATATTGATTATGGTTACTGAGTCTCTGACGTGGAAGTGGCATCAAGGCTCTGGGATCAGACTTGTTAACGGGGAACATTGGATATTAAACTCGGTTGTTTCTGGAACTTTTGCAGATCTCCTTCAAGATCCAGATCTCCTCTACCATCTGTAAGTCAAACCATAATTTGATTTAATCTCGTTTAGACTTCTAGGGGTACTTTTCTTGGGTTGTTCTCAATTTTGATTTGCTTAATTCATTGGCTTATTATCCCCATAGTTTCATTTATATTTGCCTAATGGGTTGTTTAATAATCATCACTGCAACAAATTCGGTTTTATAGAACACCAAATATGTCTCTAAGGGCGGAAGGGCCTGTTTGTTAGTAGCTTAATGAGACTCGCAGCTTATTCGGTCAGCTATACATGACTGTTTGGTAGTAGCTGAATGATATAGAAAGTGGCTTAATCAATAAGCTTCCAGGGAGAAGCTTTATGTAGAAAGCTAAGCTTTTTCCAATCCTTCCCCTTCCAATTAAATAACGCGCTCCTTTTATGAAAAAATCCTCCCATACAAAAGCCTTCATGATCTATATACACAGATTTATCGACATGGACAACTTTATCCATACAGGATTTAATGGAAACCAACCAAACAACCCCTAAGGGCCTGTTTGTTAACAACTTAATGGGACTCACAACTTATTTGGTTAGCTATACGTGACTATTTGGTAGTAGCTTAATGATATAGAACGTGGCTTATTCTGTAAGCTTCTAAGGGGGAGCTTTATGAGAAAGTCAAGTTTTTTTTTCTTCCAAACCCCTCCCTCCCAAGCCCCAACTAAAAAACATGCTCCTTTCATTTAAGAAAAAACCCTCTCAATCAAAATCTTCACAATCTAAACAGACTGATTAATTCACACATATAGCTTTATCCACACAAGACTTGATGGAAAACCAACCAAACCACCTCTAAATGTCTTGTAGATCACTTTATATAACTCAAGTTTATAGGACCAAACAATTATATATCTTATGTAAAAGTGTTGCAATAAGTTGACTGACATGATGCTTTTTGGGCGTTCTAGCAAGTTTCTAGGACATTTTTGAGAAACATTCTATGAACACATCTTTTGACACAAAACCTGTTTTTATAGAATATTTTTTCAAATAATGTCATATAAAAAGATTAATAGGACGTCTTATTTCAAGAATGTCCTAAAAACTTGTTAGAACACCCAAAGCGTTCTATCAACTTATTGCAACATCTCTACATAGGACGAACACCTATAAACTTGAGTCCTATAAAGTAGTCTATTGAGATATTTAGATATATTTGGCGTCCTATAAAGCCGATATTGTTGTAGTGCATACTGTTAATACTCTTCATATAACTGTTGTGTGTCACATTCGAGTTCAGCGTCCAAAGCGGGTTAGTAAAAGCCCGAAAAGACGCAGTCCTAGCAAGAGCAGGAGCCCAAGCAGAAGCAGGAGTCGTAGCAGGAGCAAGAGTTTATCTCGGTATAACTGTTAGCTCTTCCTTATACACCATTTGATACTTGTTTTTATCTTTACGATAATAACAAGGGAAATTTACATAAATAGCAAAAGCTGATAAGTGGTTTCACTTTTTAGCCATTTTCTAACCAAAATTCACTTTTTAGCCATTTTCTAACCAAAATTCACTTTTTAGCCGATCCTTACGCACATATGCATAAAGATTGGTTTTCAGAAAAATAAAATAAAATAAATAAGATTCCTTATGCAGAAGACCACTTTCTGCGTAAACCTTTGGCGCAAGGATTTGGTGGATTTGGGTCGGAACATAGGTAAAAAGTGAAACCGTATTTCTGTTAACAATAGCGGTTGGTTCTACGAACAGCGTCACAAACTCTTTTTGCATTTGTATGGTGCTCATTATATCGATGTTACTTCAGGTGATGATTTATGCAGTTGACGATTTGTTGATTACGAAGCGAGGAACAAGCATATCGATGTTACTTCTTTTTGAAGTTTAATAGTGGATTATTGATTCTGTGTTTTGGTGAGATTGGGCACAAATGGATTTGGGAGGTCCAGTGTGTGCTAAACTATGTTAGATTTACTGCCTTTCCTGTTCTACATTGCTAAAAGAGATTATTCATTCAACTGAATTTGGTGTTAATTTTTTGCTTTTAAGTTCAATTTTCTTAGGTCCTGTTTGGTTCGAAGGATTGGACTGTGGATTTGGTGGGATTTGGAATTGAGTCTCATTCCAATCCCATGTTTGATTTGAAGGATTTCTTGGATTCGAAATACAAGTTTTATTTGAAATTCAATAAATGTAGGATTTTAAAATCTCATGAGGATGGTTGGTATTTTACGGGATTTTGTAGGACTTGTATGTAATGATGTTTTAGAATAGACCAAATCATGTTTTTCGTCATTGTGTTTTGTTAAAAATTGTGATTTTCCTATGGTTTTGAAAGTGTGGTTTTTGTTCTTATGGTTTGTAATTCATTGCTATTTTTCATTCTTATGATTATAAATTTATTGTTGTGTCGGTCTCTCTGGTTTACAATTGTCCCTTGTGTGTTAAAGGTAGAAATCAATCTAGGAACAAAAATAGTAATAAATTGCAAACCATTTGGACGAAAATCACAATCTTTAAACCACAGGGAATTAGGGATGAACATTGAAATTATTAATAAACCATAGGGACGAAAATCGTAATAGTCAATTATTAAAAATATAATTTTAATTATTTATCATTTGTCTTTATAGTTGATAAATTCAATTCCATTTCAAATCTTGCACATCAAAGATTCCAAACCCTTTTAAATCCAAATCTCTTCACAAAATCGAAATTTCCCTTCAACTCTAAATCTTTTTACAAAATCCAATTTTTTCAAAACCATTTCATCAAGTCAAACATCCCTTGTTTATATGGTAGAGATTTTGAAGTATATAATATTTATATACGATAAATACAACAAATAAATTCACATACTCTCTTTACCTTTGGTGAGGTTTGAAGTTCTGATCTTCTAGAAGGCCAAATATTACGATACCACTAGATTAAATACCCCTTGATATTTTAGAGGAATGTTATGATATGGTTTGGTATTAAAAATGTGGTACATTCTCTTGAAGAAAATCTATTATGGATGGATCACAATAATATTTGATGATATGATCTTGGAATATTGGATGGTTCACCTTGCCCAAACAACTATCCTCATAATTGATATCACTCGAAAGTTGGTATCTAGGAGGATAGAAGTTTGGCTAAATGCTAAAAGCTATAGTTTTTTTAACAATGTTTTATAGTAATTGGTATTAAACTAATTACTTAATTTTTAAATAATAAATAACAATAAACTAAGTCAGAATCTCTAGAAAAAATTGCATTCAGTTCTAATAGCTACCTTATTTTAGTAATTTTAACTTTAATTAAATTAATAAAATTTTCAATATATTTAATAAAATATTTTTTTTCTCTCTGACACATTTTACTTCAATAAATATAATTGGTTGGATATAATTAAAATATTATTTTCTCTATCTTCTATAGAGTTTTAGAGATTTCACTCATTTTTTCTCTATTTTAGCATAGAGGATAACATAACTGTTGGAGCAACAAAAATACCCTTTTATCCATTTTAGAATGTGTTGGAGATGTTCTAACAGAGTTATTTTTGAAAGACAACATCTCTAATAATTATGCTATAATTTTCGTAAAATACAATATAGAAAGTTGAAATCTTTGAAAATTAAAATCTAACTTTAATTGTTACTCTATTTTATCAATACTATCATTAACTATACTATTAAAATATTCAATATATTTAATAAGGACTAGAAGGGTTCTTTGCTTAATGCAGCGAGATACATCACGATTTAATGTTTGTTTTATTCTTTGTCTTTGTTGATATTATATAATGGTTTTATGTGGTTTTTGAGAAAACGATAATTTTTTTTATATTTTTGAATAAAATATAAATTTAGAGATATTATAAAGATTTGAAAAGAATATAAAAGCTCTCGTTTTATCTGTAGTTTCTTTAATTCAAAATTTTTATTATAAATTAATTTAGATTTAATAACAAAATAATTTACTTTTGGTTTAATAATATAATTTTTTATAAGAATAATAATTAAGTATTCTGGTATAACTAATGATTATCCTAATTATATTTTAGATTTTTTATATTTAAAATATGAAAATTAAGTATTCTGTTGGAGATGAATATAAATTTTAGTTAATTTCTTACCCAAAATCACTCTTAAGCGGTCCATACGTAGAAGCAGGGACGGGCCTATAGTGGTGCATACAATGGCACAAGCCATCATATTATTCCTCCATCGAAGGATAAAAAAATTTAGGTTCGTGAAAGGTGCAACCATGTTAATCTGTAGTGTGTCACCGTATGTATCTTGAAACTACAATGAAAACACGTTTTATTTGATAGAATTGGTTTGCAATACTTTTATTCCACCCCAAACTCAAGTTCGAATGCTGTTAGTGTTATTTTCTTAGTTAAATGGCGCCACCGTTTTAAAAAAAATTATATATTATTTGTTTCTTATAGTAAAACGATACTATCATTTGAATTTTTTTTCCCTATAATCAAATATTGTTACCGTTTGAAAAAATTTCGGGATCCGTCCCTATATAAAAAATTTACCCATATACGTAAAGATTGGTTTAAGGTAAAAAACGTTACATAAAAAATAAATTTGAATCAGAAAATAGCTAAAAAAATTAAATCCATGTATCAACCTTGACTATTTACATAAATTTCTAAAAACAAATGTCGTTTTTTATTTTCTCCTTTTATTTCCTTTTATAGAAAAGTTTAGGAGAACCCAAGTTGATTCAGAAAGAAAAAAGTAGTAGATACCGTTAAAGTTAACGCCGTCAAGGTTAGATGGTGGGTTGTATAGACGTCGGTGTCGAGCTGTACTTCCTCCAAAAAGCTTGATGCAAACCACCCACCACAACCACTATTCAATTTCAAACCCTCTCGTCTGTCGAATTCAATCCAATCCAATCCAATCCCTAATTCGGATAATCTGAGATTCTTCAATCAAATTTCTAACCCTAGAATTCCACCCTCACCCACCTTCTGATTCGAGAAGAATATCGATGTGATTTGATTCCAAAAATGTCTGAAACTGAAGCTGAAAATGTGTTTTCATATCTCTCCGATGATGTTGTTCTTAACATCTTCTTCAAGCTCGTCGACGATCCACGAAACTGGTCTCGTCTCGCCTGCGTTTGCACCAAATTTTCGTTTCTGATTCGAACGATTTGCTGCAAGACGAAATGCCATCAAGCTATCCCTGCCGTCGTCTCCGATCTTCTCCCGCCGAACGCCTCCATAATGTCGACAGTTGTTCCTCCAGGAGGTTGGTTGTCGCTGCACAAACTCGCCGTCTGCTGCCCTGGCCTCGTCCACTCCGGCGTCCTCCTCGAGAATTCCGATTTCGGTCTGGAACGTGATCTAGGCCCCGATGAAAACTATTACGAACCTAATTTGTTTCAAATTAGTAAGTCTCAACCGAGTCCTTCTTGTTCTACCACTGTTGATGATAAGATTAAAGAGGCTAAAGCTGCTGTTCGTGGATCTGATTGTTCCTGGTCTTTGTACGACGATCTCTACTTGGATACTGTTTACAATAATCCTTCTAAATCTCAAGATCAAGCTGAGATGCGTGACGAAGATCCAAAAACCGACCCTGCTGTTGTTAAATCAGCTTGTGATTTTGCTGTTTGTAAGAGAAGAAAGATCTGTAGATCCTTAACGTCTCATTTAGCATCAGAAGCTTGGAATTTCAGCCGCGAACAAGGAAACAAGTTGCTGGCAAGTAGATTTAGAGGAGATTGTTTATACATTTGTGATTGGCCTGGTTGTGTGCACACAGAAGAGAAGAGGAATTACATGCTGTTTAGAGGTGTTTTCAAGAACTTCAAGAAATCTAGGGTTTGGAGGACGATAAACGATGGGAATCGAAGCAAAATTGATCTGAATTGTGCATTTTGTACGAGCAATGAGGTGTGGGAATTGCATTCGGCTTTCTGTTTGAGGCCTGCGTATGGATTCCATGATGATGGGGAGCCGGTTGTTCGAGCCTACGTGTGCGAAAATGGGCATGTATCTGGAGCATGGACCGATTGGCCATTGTACACTTGAAGAACTTGTGATCATCTCTTGGTAACTGGTATTGTTTTCTTGCACTTGATTTCCGATTATCGACTGTTTTATATGTATTCGATTCGATTTGATTCGATAGTAGTTACTTCTGTGAGTTACCCATATGCTATATTCCTTCAAGACTAACCATGAATGGGATGTGGGATTTGTTATCAGAAGTGTATTTGTTAAAGATTTGGATAACTTCTATGCTTAGATCCTTTCATCATCTTGTTCTTGTCTGCCTGAAACATTTATAGTAGGAGTTGATGATATTTGGTTACTTAAGGGTTCCATTTGGTTGGTACACCGGAGAAAGCATAACATCGATCACCGTTTCACGTTTAGTAGGACTTTTATGTTTAACAAACAGGAACATGGTATGGTATTCCACTCCCATGTTTGGTTTAAAAGAATTTTTGGATTTGAAAAATCTCGGGATTTCACTGAAAATCCCATAATAGAGTTTGTTGGTATTTCACGAGATTTGTTCGTAAGCACCGGGAAGGAAGACTAGCTGTCCCTATTGAGTTGAAATACTTTAAAGTATGTTTAAAATAATTTTTTAATAATAATATATGAATAAAAAGATAATTTAATTATTTTTATAGTTTGTTTTTGTAAGTTATTATAAAGAATTGAATTCAATTCTATATCAAATCTAGATCCCTCTAAATTAAGGGATTTGTAGGATTTATATGGAATAATGCTTTATATAATTTGGGTAGGAATCTGTGATCTTTTTATCGCAGAATGAATATAAATCATTATAGAATGATAAGGTTCGAACATTTTTCATGACTTCCAATCTTGCATGATGGATGGCTCATCCATTTACTCGAGACCGGTTAAAAACCGACCAGTTGATCATTTTTCTTAAGTATATAATACATACATTCACCCGATCTAATTGGAACCGACCAATCAAATTCAATTGTAATTTGGATACAGAACTTTCACATTCAAATTGGATGGGTAGGTTTTTGTTACAGTTTAGAATCCGATAAAAACAAACGAATTCAAGTTGCTGAAGTTTTGAAGGTTGAATATAAATATTACATTTGCGTGCGGGAGTTAGTTGTTGTCGTAATATAATTTTGATGTTGAGGGACCACCTTAAATACAATTAAATAATTGAGAAGAAAAAGGACATACGCTACGGAACTGACTTGCTTCCTTTTACGACCAGGTTCATCCACAATAAGTCACATCCTTAATCCCGTAACACACACATACGGACCTACCTACCTACCTTCTCAAAAAATGGTTGGTTTTTTATCAACAATTTTACCAAAGAATCTTACTTTATTACAATATCTTCGAGAATAAAAGAAAAGAAAGGAATAGAAAAGGAAGAAAGCAATTTTCTTATTTGTGTTCTTAAGACGGAAGGGAACTTTTCATCTTCTTTTTACTAAAATACTCTTATTTATTCTTCAATGGGTAGATATGTAAGGTTCTGTTTGGCTAATGTTCAGGAATGAAAATGATGATGAATTTTCATTCCCCCTAATTTAACCTGGAATAAAATTTTGGGCTTTGGAGGAATGAACTCATATATTATAGAAAACCACACTTTGTCTTGTATTTTTTATTCTCATTGATTACTGCTTAATACCTTTAACCAATCATTCCCTAATTTTATAAAAAAAATTATTCTTTTTACTCCTTTCATTTTCTTTCTTTTCCTTTCCCTTCCCTCCTAAACGAACTTGAAAAGACGAGATTTTTTCTTTCCCCCTCATTTCCTTCCCTCTTTCTCCCATTCCTTCATAAAAAAGGACTCGAGAAGATAATGTTAGATCTTACCAGATAAATGACACTTTACTTTATTATTTTGAAGATCAAGAATCTTTAACAATAAGTAAAGACGACAATTCTCACTAGTAAGCAATAATAGAACATCCTTTATTTAGTTGTCCAAAGCATCACATCCGATTCATCTATCTCATCTTTTTTAAATAAAGCCGGATATCTCCTCTATTTCCCAAAAATCACAGCACACCACCGAATATTGAAAATAAGATCATGATTTTGTGTTTGGGATTTGCTTATTTAGAACAACTTATGTTTTTTTTATAAAAATGTTTATCAACTTATACGGTGGCAAATTGAAGTTTTATAAAAAATGTTTTGGATTAGCTTATGGCAGTACCACACCGGATAAGTTGATAAAATATACGAGACACCCTTTTCTTTTCTAATCTAAACACTAAAAACTCCTTATTACCGGTACCACACCGGAATAAGTTAATAAGTTAGAAAAAAGTAGCTTATATAAAACTCCTTACTACCGATGTCAAACCGATATAAACATTTTTTTTCTCCATCCAAACACTAAAAACTCTTTATTACCGATATCATATCGAAATAAATTAATAACCACTTTAAATAATCAATTCCAAACAACCTAAAAAGATCATCTTCCACACAATTTCAACAGACAAGACGACGACCGAAAGGGATTGGGTATCGGCACAATAATGCGCTTTTTCAGCTCCACCTTTCTTTTTCAAGTAAAGTGACGTGTTACCCAATCTCACCAGTAATTCACATCAGAGGTTAGGCCAGGGAGCACCAATCCTGCTCTTAAAAGTTAAAAGTACGACTCCACCACCAAAAGAAATTCACTTTTATGATTTTAAATGGGTAAACCTCTGCTTACTAATTTCCTTACATCGACATCAAAACACTTATCAACAAGAAATATAAGCTTTACCTACCTTATCGTGTAACATTATCGACCATTAAAATGAATTGTTAGTAAACATCTTAAACCTAGTAAGAGTCTTTTCCCTCACTTACCGGGTAATATTGTTTTGGTCCTTGTTATGTTTCTTACCGGGTAAGATTCTCAATCCTCAATCGGTAAGGTAAGTGATATTGGTAAGTGCTTACCCGTTAAAACTTTAATAAATTACATAAATTAATTAAAACATAGATGTGTATAGCAACACTCAAAATACAAATGCTGACCGTAGGTAACTGGATCAAGTCACCAACACTACGTCGGTTCTACTTTAATTGAATGTTAATTATGTAAACCACACTAACCAAACAAACCTAGTAACTCCCATTCGAAAAAAGGGTATGGAGAGGTTAGGATGTAAGCAGACCCTATCTTAACACAAAAGAATGAAGTGGTTGTTTAAGTGAAGACTCAATTAGGTAGAAGGCATGAATACTAACATATGGATTATGGTGTTGGAAGCAGTACGAGAGAAAAAAGAAGAACAAGTACAAGTTGGTACATCGAGAACGACCAAAAACACATCTCTAGCCTAAACTGCCACCCCTCAACCCTCGGAAGTTGTTCTTCCCAACCAACTTCACTTTGTAGCCATTTTTTCAATCAAATTCCTATTTTAGCCGGAGTTGACGTAAATGCCTTATGCATTTGCGTAAACTTATGCTAAAAGGGGAATTCGATGCCAAAAGTGGATAAAAAGTGAATTTTTTGAGGAGATTGACTATTTTGTTCAATTTCCTTGTCAACACCCACTCCACCTCTCAACCTATCCAACTCCCTTATGCCCAACAACGTGAACTACGGTTCCTCTTCCTCATAGGGATATGCATAAAGTCACTCATCCAATTAGAACAAATCAATCATATAATCGTCTCCAAAATTTCAACATCCAAATTGGATCGATCGGTTCTTGGATGGCAATCCAACATCCAATAAAACCTTACTAATCCAAATCCGGTGACCATCAAATTAATAACTATATATAATTATAAACATTTTATGATAATGTTTTTTAGTTGATATTTGTATGCATTGTTTTTTAATGACTTAAAGAAATATATGAATAATTGGTTGAAAATTGGATCAAAATATTGATGAATCCAATGGATAACCAACAGTAATATCCAATAGATGGAATTGATCCGATCCAATGAATTAGATTAGATCGGATAATAGATCCAACATCCAAAGGATGATTAGATAGAATAGGGTAGACCTAAATCCATTAAATTACAACCGACGAACACCCCTAGACTTCCTCATATACAGTCTGCTACCCTAGTCCTCCGTCTCCAAGTATTCCTATGAGTCCTATCAGAGGTCATGTCCTCGGAAATTATAATTCTGTATGGTGTTAGAAACATGAAAAGGAAGGCCACAACACAAATTTACAAACTTCTCCTCGGTTAATAATTGTATGTGTAGGAAAAATCATATGGTCATCCGACTTTGAAATATCATTTTTACGAGTCGAGCTCGAATAACCTGCTACTTGAATCTACTCGACTCGGCTCGTTTACACTCCTAGGCATTACCCATGTTCTTGGAGCATCAAGGGCAATGCCGGAATCGATATAATTGGAATCTCTCTTCTTTACATTATAAATTCTCAAAAGATATGTAATCGTCTAGTCTGTAAAGTTATGGAAAACTATTAACAGGTGAAACTGACCTTTCTAAGACCGGTGAGTCCGGTTGCTGGGATCAGGGCCTCTAGTGATGGTGGAATGATTCCCGTATGACGGGAAAATGTGACGAGTGATCTCTTTCATGTGCGTAATTATAAGAACTTTCTGCCTCCCGTACGTAGAACCCATGGCTACCACGATGATCATGTCGAATTCGGACTGCTGGTAATACCATAGGCAAACTCCTTGCACCACTAAATCTCCTAAAACCGTTTGTGGATGAGAGCATGTTTGAAGTATCACTTGGTTGTTCCAGATGATAGCTAGTGTGAAGAATCTGGATTCTTTCACGAGATTGTGAACTAGCAACTGAACTCCCGCCACTACGGGAAACAGGCCTATTCAGAAAACACACACAAGACATAAAGAAGCATAAACAATGTTTGAAGTAGGAATGACAAAACTACTCACTAACGAACAGGAGCATTCTAATCTTTTTGGAGGCTCTGTTACAACCATACCAAGATTATAGATAGAACAGACAAGTGATAAATAGAAACAAATATAAAAGTTCATGTAATATATCATACTGAGGGTCTGTTTGTTAGTTGCTTAATGACTGTCTGGTAGTGGCTTATTGAAGGGTAAGCCCCTAAAACAGCCTACCAGACAGTTATTAAAACATGTATAATTGTTCCATATCTCACATTGGAAGACCCTCCTAATGATGCATATTAAGTACTCAAGTTCTAAAGATGTACACAGACAAACTAGCCTTTGATCGTGTTAGTTAGAGGGGAAACTTACTGTTGGGTATAGTGTGACGGATGAAGAAGAGAGAAGGATCTTGCAACAGCATCAGCCGGCGCCCGAGCAGATCTCATTGTGGCAGGATGAACTGGAGCCAGATCACCATGGTCTATATAATCTCTGTCCGCATTGTAAGGAAGGTAATGACAATTCCAACCCCAACTTGGGTGTTGGAAGTTAGCAGCATGAAGATCATTACGAGGGGCAGATATGGCATTCAATGGACGATGGAAGTTGGAATTGCCAACATGCTCATTGGGTTGGAAAAATGAGATATAGGAGTGAGCCAAAGATGGTGGGGTTGTATGTTCAGTAATCATGGCATGGTTTCCCTGGAAGTTGGTAACTGCATAGACAACTTTACTTCAGATGGTTTCAAAAACTTTGAGCAGGGATGGAGAGCTTATGAGAATGCTGAACTTACATGTATCCAATGAAGGCTCGGCTTCCCTGAAAACGTTTACAAGTGTGGAGAGGTCAAAGACTGCACAATCATGATTCATTACAGAAACAATTCTATAACTTGATTATTCTTCGGTCAATTTCTATGATTAACAAGCATTTCTCAAACCAGAGACGAACCCAGAAAACTTTTCAAGTGGTGGTTCCTTGTCCTTACCAGAGGCACAATTTGACTATAAAACATATCTAACTTTTTTTCGCAATATTAGTAATAGATTTGTTGGTTGGTTCCTTGTCCTTACATAGAAAGACCCCACTCCCCATGTTCGAGTCCGGTCTACATATATCCTTAAAAACACAAGAGGTATATAAAAAGCCACCAGAATTTAAGCTAAAACAACAAATTTTGTAAAAAGGCAGGAGCATTTACCATCTTAGCCATTAAAATCTCGTCTTAACATTTCAGTTTCAAAAACTATATTGTGGCACCCAACAAAACAATACGGTGGAACCCTTTAGAAACGTAATTTTTCCCCCATGGCAGAACCATGAAGAGGTGGCCCATGCCACCGTATCTTTCCATGTGGGTCAGCCCCTGTCTCAAACAATGGGAAAAGATGGAAATCGTTATCAAAGTTTAAAGAGGGTCCTTTCAATCTTCTTGGAGGTTCTATTACATATGTACCAAGACTATGGATCCACTGGACATGTAATAAATAAAACAAAATATAAAAGTTCATACTATATTATTATTAAAAGTTTTACAAACTAAAACAACAAACATGTATGTCATTGACTTTAATGAAATAATTCTTGTAAGTTCTAACACTCTTCAAAAGCCGAAATCGAAATTGTCAAATTGCTAAAAGAGTAAAAGCCTAAAACATGTATGATTGAGCTAAAGTTTAAAACATGTATAACCGGCTAATATTGAAAATGTTTATAATTGGACCCAAAAACAGATACAAATATGTTTAAATTCATCATATGCACAAATGTTCAGAGCTGAACTTGAGGGAGTATTGAAGTTAAGACATCTAAAAGCCTTAACATGAAAGACAATTGAAGTTCAGGCCTCTCAATGAACATTGAAGACAAAGTTTTAACCTTATTAATAGTGTTCCATTATCTCACACTCGAAAAGGGTTTCTCTCTTGGATGAAAAAAGGATTAAGCCTTCATAAAGATTTTTTTTCCTGGAATTTCTAGAATTTTGCAGTTAACTGAACAGACTGCCAAATACATCAACTAGATGGCAAAATGGATGTCCTCCCTAGCTTCTCTCGTATGTCCAAGTTTTTGACACGTGTTTTAAAACAGTAGATGGCCCCAAAAGTCAACACACATCCTTAGGCCAAATGGGCGTCCATTCTTCATCGGCAAGCAGAAAACTAATAGTTTTCAAGAACCATGTATTGAATGCTAAATCAACAATTTTAAGCAAAGATTCTTTGAGTTGAAAAATATACCATCTTAGCAACATTTTGTGTAGTCTCTCTAATTCAGGTAGTTATATCCTTTTGAGAAGATAAATTATAATTATTCGGTTCATCTTTTGTTAAAATAAGGTTTGGTAACTCATTAGCAAGTTTTTAATAGCTAAATCATGTTCACATCACTAGCGCCTTGCTAGTCTTTTTATAATATTTCGCTTTTCTTTGCCGGTCAAAAAAAAAAATTTCATGTTCACATCCTTGTGTGCTTGGGTAGCCTTTGTCTTCAGTATTCATCACCAAAAATGATTTGGTAACTAAAGGGAGAAGAAACTATTGGAGTTTGGAGGCATTAATTTACCTTACCTTGTGAATAGTATTGTGGAGAAGTGCCTCTGGAGTTGATGTAGGAGACAACTCCTCTTCAAAACCGTAATAAATCTCCATGTCATTGGTGATTGCTAAATTTCAATATCTATCTTTTACATCAATAATTTAGTTGTTGTGAATTTATTATTCAACAATTAAATCCCATTATATACTGAATTTTTTAGCAACCTACTCAACTCTTTAGTTGCACTTGCAATAGAAGAAGAAAAAGAGACCAAAAAAACTAAGCAACAAGAAGATTTTCCTATAAGGTTTGCTTTATCTAGAGAATCAAAGTCCTAACAAAATCTCATATATAGAAGCAAACCTCCATTTTTTTTTTGAAGTTTTTGAATTTTTGGAGCAGGTTGACCAGTCTTTTCTCAAAGTAGGAACTGTGATGCTAAACACTACTAATAGTTTAAACATCATGCAAAAGTCCACTTCTATAGATCTTCAAGAAGATTCTTGATGTTGTAAAAAAAACAAATAGATTACCATAGTAAGGTGTCAACTGTCAAGGATCAGAAATAACTGCCATTTTTAGCTCAAGGATGGCAAGAATAGTGTAAATTGAGTACAAAGTTTATGGACGTCTTCATATCAAGAGAATTTGATAACCACTGTACCGTGCTTTCGATGTATCCATCATTTGCAAATAGAACTAGATTACTTATATCATTGACCAAAAGGTGTTACAAACTAACCCACAAACAACTAGAAACTACGAACTCTTGAGACAGAAAACGAATAGACAACCTAATTTAAATAAAATCTAACACGCCCACCAAATTGAAGTTGAAGGCTACAAATCTTTTACCATGCAAAGGGTTTAATGCTATGTTGCAATCCTCAAGTTATAATTAAAACTTTTCAAGACCAACCTATGTATTACATATGGTAAAGATTTCCATATCTAATGGCTGCTTTTTCCATTTTTGCCATTTAGGGAATTTCATGCAAAGTTTTCTCTGCTAGTTGGTATTTTTATTTTGAACTCGTGGTGACATATAAGCTGTAACATCAAAAAGTGTAGTTAGATTGGGACTACATACGACAAATTAGTTGCTCATAGATGCAACACTACAACACTAGTCATTTCTAAGACTTCTAGTAATCTGGTGAAGGGTATATATAAATATAAAGTATAAACAACCAACAAAAAGGACCATGATAGGTAAGGTGGTTAGTAGATACCAAGTTGACAGTGTCTTGATCCAAGAAACTCGAGTGGAATTGGTAAAACAAGCAGTACTTAGTTGCATCTGGAAATCATCAGGAGTAAAGGGGATCGTAATACCATCTCAAGGTAGATCAGGAGGGCTGGTTACAGCATGAAAACAAGAATCTTTTACATTGTGAAGTCTCAATGTGGTTCTCATCACTGGTGGCAGTTGTGGGGCGTGCGTTGAATGAGGTAAAGGAGATGGTGATAGTTAACTAAATTTTGCATCACAAAGAAACATTTTGGGAGGAGCTGTAAAAAATGTGGCAAGGCCCTTTATATGTAATGGGAGATTTTAACTAAATTATGAATCCAGAAGAACGATGAAGAAGCAACATTGAGTGGTAGAACTGGGTTTCTGCAATGCAGCACAATATCGTTGGGAGGTTCAATCATGCGCTTTTGCAACCCAGCCTGATTGTTGTGAGTTTGATTTTCGGAATAGAAAGTAGAATACATGTTTTGTTTTAATGGTTGGTTGAAGATCCGCAATCAAGTGACGTGTAGGTTATTTGATGCAAGGATCTAACCACAACTGTTCCGTATTTTTCCTTCAAGTTGAAGTTGAAATCAATAGTTTTCTTTTGCAACAAAAAACCCAACATCTAGATTTTGACAGCATATTTAAGGAATAAAGCATGTCATGCTTTAGATTTTCAGTAACCATAGAGAAAAAAACCCTACTGATTCCTTTCCTCAAGCAAGAAAATGGACAACTAGAACACAAACTCTGTTTCTTTTAAACTAGTTTGGATGGTAAATTTCACACATAAGATGAAAGAAACTAAGCCAGTCGGCTTATAAGACCCCGATATTAGCTTCTCTTATGACCCAATCACCCAAAATGCCAGCCGTACCAGAACGGGTTGCAACTCTTAGATTAATAATATGGAACTTTTTTGATCCAACAAAAAATGCGCTTGAACGTAGATCTGGCCTGTTAATCAGTTACAACCATGCCTTTCTTTTCCGTGTAAATTGGTATTGGTTCGCCTTTCCCTATTGAATGAGCATGTGCTTGGAACATGTTCTAATTGTTTGCTTTAAAGTTGAATTGGTGGGATAATAAAGTATGTTTTTCATTGGAAATCTCTGTTGGGGCAAACAATCTTATATCTCTTCTAAGTTAGAAGATTTACTATTAAACTTTTCGCAGATTGTAATCAGCAGATAGTTTTCCCATGTATATAAATCTCACGTGATTGGGAGGCGCAACAGCCTTGTCAACACAAGTATCAAGTGCCAAATTAGGGTATAAAATCTAAATGTTTTCTTATATTATTCTTTGTTTCAACTTTAATTACTCCAATACGAGTGTAAAACAAGAATAGTTAAAAACATCCGCACCAAATCAGCTGCTTCTCTATTTGTGCATGTATTCACAGTCTTCTGATAAATATCTGCTTTGGAATTCAGTTATTATATCTTGGCTAGATGTAATTAAGTGTAATTTAAGGTTAATGACTACAATCTCCGTCCCTCCCACAATGCCCCCACCTAAAAAGGAAGACAAAAGTGAAGATATGAAAAGCTTCTTGGTTAAGTGCAGAATTACAAAACGCAGTGATAATGGTCTTCGGAAAGGAGGAATTCCCCTACATATCTAAACTAATAGATAGCCAATATAAATGACAGAATTAAAAATTTAGGAAGTTGCTGGTACGCAAACGTGAACAAATAACTGAATCCCAAGGTCAGGATTCAGCTCATATATTTAAAGAGAAGGCTCGGCTTACTCAATTGATGAATGAACGGTAAATCCACTGAATGGACACCACTGAAATCCAAATGGCTGAAAGAAGGTTTAGAACTCATAAGAAACAGTTATCAGATGATATAAGAGTATGTGAAGTGCTTACCATTCTGGAATAGCTCAAATCATGTGGGCCCTCGTTAGGCACCCGGGCTTGTGCACCAGTCTCAAAAACTGCATGTGCAGAACCATCTGCAAACAGCCATCTGCCACTCTCAACCTTGCGACAATTAGGACATTGCATAGTTCCCTTACTATTGAAAGCCGATCCGATGCAATCTGTATATCACAAGCAGGTTATATCATCCAAGCTATACTAAGACAATTATGCAAAACATACTTTATTATCCCACCATTCCAGTTTCAGTAAATATTAATTACTTACAGTTGCTGATGAACTACAGTGAGCTTACGAGATACAGTAGAATGAAACTAGCAACCAATCTTTTATACTGATCGAAGCTAGCTGAAAGTTCTGTAAAGCATGTTAGATTCTTAAACTAGCCAATTGTGGTCCTACCTCAATCAAGAACCTTCATATTATGCAAGTAATACAGATCACTTCAACTCTTAGTTAGTTTGCTTTAAATCAATTTCCTGTTGCTTTAATTTCTCTTATTTTTTTTTAAACCTTGTGTTGTCATTTTCCATCCAAATGCATATATATGGGTTAGCTTGTGGTCATTATTCACGGATGCTATATAATTCTGGCAATGTATGCTACCAGCAATCTTCATCCTTCATCTCAAACAGGAAAGTAAGCCTACTTCCTCTAATTCTATCTTGGTTTTTCCAAAATTGTCACACTAAGTACTCAGAGTAACTTGCTGGTAAAATATCTCTATAATTACCAATGCATCAACCAAACACTTCTATAGTATCCTTAACTGTTTGAGTCCATCTTCCAACTTGAAATTCATTAAAAAGAAGTTCAATTCTCAAAGTGAAAAAACGACATCGCAGACATGCATCCATACATTACGTGACTACACATGGAGTCTCCAAAAAGGTTCAGTCACAGAGTTCGGAAACAACTATCGATTCTTATAACCTTGCCATTAACACAAATATAAAGCAACTGATCACTGGAATACTAGTTCTAGCAAAAAATTAAGAACAACGAACAGAAAACATTGAGTTTTCAACTGTGCAAATGATCGATTCACGAAACGAATCAAAATAACAAAAAACCGAAAGTGTTCTCACCGAGATGAAATTTGTGGCCGCAATGAAGCTTCGCTGTAGACCTCTCTCCGTCATCGATGACTAAATCGAAACAAATCGAGCAAGGAACCGATGATGAGCAACCTAACGCCGGCGACGACAAATTATCGACGACATCGGCATAGGTATTTTTTGAAGCAACCATTGATTTCATCACAACTTTTCCGTTGATGAAATCAAAATCCTTACATTGAATCGAATCAGCAGAAAATATCGATTAGATAAGGAGATTTATCTGAGACGAGATTGAGAGAAAATAAATGATTTTGGATTGTAGTATCTGATTTGTACTAAAATTTCTCACTCAATCCGGCCTGTCAGATTACGTGGCCAATGGAACCGATTACGATGGCCACGGATTTAAGACATCATGTACATTTACTTCAAAGTTTTTGACGAAATTGTCAAAAAAAAATTAAACCACCTCTTTACAATCAAATTCATTTTTATTTTATTTAATTTAATAGATACTATCAAAAGTTAAAAAAAAAATTAAAAAATATATATTTAACTTCAACAGCTATTTTATTTTAACAATTTTATCATTAATTATATTATTAAAATATTTAATATATCTAATAAAGTATTATTTTTATTTTCTAAACATTTAATTTCAATGTCTCTGTTGGTAAAAAGAATTAAATATTATTTTTCTCTCTTTGAGATGGAGTTTTAGAGATTTCTCTAAATTTGAAGATTTTTACTTTTTTTCCTTTTTCCCTTTATTTTAGCATACAAGATAGCATATATGTTGGAGCCAAAAAAATTCTTAAAGTCTTACTTTTCTCCATTTTATTAGTATAGTTGTTGGATATGTTCTATGCATCTGCGTAAAACATATTTTCATAACTCAAAAAAAAAGTACGCAAATGGGATTCTTAAGCAAATTTGCATATAGTTTTTTTCTCTAATCTTAAAAAAATTACTCAAATTATAAGGCATTTGCGTAAACTCTAGATAAAATAGAAATTTGATTGAAAAAATGGCTAAAAAATGAATTTGGTTAAAAATATTGGGTATTTTGGTAAAGTTCTCACTTTTTTGGTTGATGATAGATTATATGTTAGAAAAATGTAAAAAATAAATTTTGATACTAATGTGATTGAGGAATAAATTAGTAGATAGAAATACGTTTAGCAATATCTATACTATATTATAAATCATTTGTCTAAAACTCTTAAAAACTCTTAAAACTCTTAAACCCTTCCCATATCTGAATTCGTGTAACTAACTGCAGATAAACACAATCAAATACAGGATAAACATCTCATTTTAAATATAAAAAATCTAAAATATAATTAG